CTTTTGATTTATTTGCATGTGTTTTTCTTTACCTTTTTAATTCAATTCATTTTAATTCCTGAAAGAACACAGGTCATGATATTAAATTGCATGTACAACTCACTGATGTACTGATGTTGATCGACTTTCAATATCATTTCAATATGTTTAAATAGACCAGAACACTGAGAAGAGTAGAAACTAAAGGTTTTGCTGTGTCACAGAAGAGGCAATCTTCTCCAACTCTGAAGTAAGGTCCTTGGATTTTTCCATGATTTTGACCTTATAAGGATTTAATCGTATTTAATGACACAAAAAGTAACAAAGAGATAAAATGCTCGATTTTTTTGTAGATATGCTTTTTAATTAATTTACAAGAACTAACTCAGTGTGAGAAAAATAGAGTATTTAGGAAGGGAGATCTACAAATGTTTTTATTTTAATGGGTTTTATCTTGAGAAGTTTTAAGGCCTCTCTTCTTTATCAAGAGGCAACCTTACAACTACAAGCTGTTTGATTTTTGCCCTGGTTTCTAAATATGATGTTTATTATAGATTGTCTTATTAATGGTGACATCAGGCTCTTCTTCTCTTCTTTCTTCCTTTATGACTTTTTTTTAATGTGTTGATGGTCATGGCAGCAGCATAGAGTATAAGGAGGACCAGACCTCTCTTTCCTCTGCAACAGGTGCCAGCTCCTCCTGTGGGATTCCCCAGCATTCCCAGGCTGGCTGGAAGATGTAATCCCTCCAGTGTGCCCTGGGTCAGCCTCTGGGCCCCCACCCAGTGGGACATACTCGGTAAATCTCAAAGGAATCCTCCTGGGAGCATCCTCATCCGGTGCCTGAAACACTTCAGCTGGCTCCTCTCCATCCAATGGATTAGCAGCTATACTCCAAGGCTGTGTCTACATTGGCACCCTTTTCCGGAAAAGGGATGCTAATGAGACAAGTTGGAATTGCAAACGCCGCAGGGGATTTAAATATCCCCCGCAGCATTTGCATGAACATGGCTGCCGCTTTTTTCCGGCTCGAGGCTTTGCCGGAGAAAAGCGCTAGTCTAGAAGGGATCTTTTGGAAAATAAAGTCTTTTCTGGAAGATCGCTTATTCCTCTTAAAATCAGGAATAAGGGATCTTCCGGAAAAGGGTTTATTTTCCAAAAAGATCCTGTCTAGACTGGCGCTTTTCTCTGGCAAAGCCCCAAGCCGGAAAAAAGCAGCAGCCATGTTCATGCAAATGCCGCGGGGGATATTTAAATCCCCCGCAACATTTGCAATTCCGACTTGTCTCATTAGCATCTCTTTTCCAGAAAAGGGTGCCAATGTAGACACAGCCCAAGGGTCTCCTGAATAGCTGGGCCTCTCACCCTGTCTCAGGCTATATCTACACTGCAGAGTTATTTTGGAATAAGCTATTCCGGAATAGTTATTCCAAAATAGCTTATTTCGAAATAGCACATTTACTCTGCAGGGAAGCCTCAAAATTTGTCTGAGGCAGACTTCCCCAATGTAGACATGCTATCTCGATTTAGAGCCCCAGGAGGAATAACTTAGAATGGCCCTGGTGAGGGGCTATTTCAAGATAGTAGAAGTGGAGCATCTACACATGCCTTATTTCGAAATAGCTATTTCGGAACAGGCATTATTCTTGGCAGAATGCGATTTACAGAAACCGGAATAAGCCGTCCATTATTTCAAAATTATTTTGAAATAATGGACTTCCCTGGTAGTCACTTGCATAGTTATTGTTTGCTGTATAGACACACCCTTAGAGAGTAAGCCCAGCCACACCGCAGAGAAACCTCATTTCTGCTGCTTGCACCCACAATCTCACCCTTTCGGTCTTTATCCAAAGGTCAGGACCATCAGTTCAAGTTTATTTTGATCTTGCTGTCAATGAGGCTGGCAGCTGCTAAGGTCTTTTCAAGTCCATTATCTTTCTAGCATTTGGGGTCAATTTTCCTTAAACTGGTTCCATAATGGCATGTCTAGACTTGTAAACATGGATGTGACCTCGTTAAGGTCAATAAACATGTTCTTTGGTTTTGGTTTTGGTTTTATAGGATGGGTGTCATGGACTTAATCTTTGTGGTGTGCAAAACAATGATTTTTTGTTTGTTTAAAATTTGTGACTTAAGCAGGGCTTCTCCAAAATTGAAGCTCACTAACAATGACCTAATTTAAACAACTTCTGTAGCTCCATACTTGTTTAGAGGCTTTTAAGGGTGGCACTTCAAGGTGGAGTAAACGAAGATTGAAAACTCTGAAATGAAAAGGAAGGCCAAGTAAGCCTTCTGGATCAGCAAACCACCACAGGGATGATGGACGTTCCCGAAGCTCTAAGGTAATCACCTTAGAGAAATTAAGTCAATTCACCTGCAAGAAGGCTGACCCAGCCATTGATCTGTCTCCCTGCACATGAAGGATGCAACTAAGTGCTGTGCCAGCAACCTCACTATCTAGTTCAGTGGTCCCCAATATGGTGCCCGTGGGTGCCATGGCGCCCGCCGGGGCATTCGTGTGCACCCGCTGACAACCTGGGCTGGCTCCGCCCCTGGCGCACAGGAGGCGCCGGCCCTAGGCGCGTGACACGCACCGGCGCTGGGTGCGCGGCGCTCGGGCG